GGGGGCAGAACGCAGTCTTGGCGGAGACCACGGCCAACGCTGAAAGGTTTCGACTTAACGCCATTTACTCTGCCACAGCATATAGTGATTGGATGACTCATATAGAAACTGGTCATCAGTGCCATATGTCAGTTTTTCACGCCCACAGCATTTTGTGAGGGACATGGTCGAAGGCTTTTTCTGGGTCAAGAAAGCACTCGTTAATCGGAGGAGCAAACTCGCGCGATTTATCAACAACCTCTTTGAAAACGAAATCTGGCCAGAGGCACTCTCTCCTGACCTGGAGCCACATTGCACTGCACGTTGCTATTTCGCGGCACCCCTTTTTCAACAGCTTTGCGTAGACCTTTCTCGAGAGGCTAAATAAGGTAATATCAGGACAATTGTAGCACTTCCTGTGCTCGCTTTCTGAATTAGCGTTCAGCAAACCGTCTTTTCGTCTATTGGTCTTTTACAGGCGCATGTTAGCGACAATATGCCCTGTTCGCTTAAAGCTCTTACGATTTCTAAGCATATTTCATCAATTCCGACTGCTTTGTCATTTTTTGAATTTTTCCACCTCATCATCCAGTGAAAGAGTAGTATGTTTTCCTGTTCTTGAAGCGAGCATTCTTGCGGTTGTCCGCGGTTAAAAAGTTTCTCAAAGTACTCTATCGCTGAAGTATGTCCTCATCGTTAATAAAAGTGTCCGGACTTTCCCTTCAGAACTCTTACACTGCCATTTTTTCCGACTTGTCTTCTTCCCAGTGATAGCCGATTTATTCTCTCTTGTCCGCCACGAATTTTGTTTCTGACCCTCAGACAGGAGTTGAACCCGTTTCATCTCTCGGCAGCCCTGACTACGTCGTTTAAACGGCTTTCACTCAATTTCCAATGTCAATCATTTTAACACGGACCTTTGAAACCGTCTTGCGATGCTGTTTGCAAATCTTGCTCTCGTGTCCATCGAAGATAATGTTTTCCATTTGATTCTGTTCTTCTTCTTCCGCTTCTGCCGCCACTATGGTACTCCATTTCTTACAGGGTACAGTGCCAACAACAAGGTGATGATCGGTTGACATCTCTGCGCTTCTCTTTACGCAGTCATCCATCAGAGAGCATCGTAAGTCCGACGACATGATTATCAAATCGATCATCGACTTATGTGCTTAAGGTTCACTGTACCAGGTATACTATTGAACACGTTGATGCTCAGCGAAATTGTTCATATCAGATACTCAATTGTTTCAAAACCCACCCGCAGCAACTTTATGCCGTTTTCGTTGAGGTCGTTAGGACCGTTCTTTCCAATGAATGATACACTAGCATTTAAGAGTATCTGCTCCAACATGCGCGTCAAAATCACCACTCAGAATAATGGACACTACAGTCGGAACTTCAACGGGGTTCTTTCTGCTTCCTCCACTAATCGTGTTCGCCCTCTTTTTATGAATTTGCGCAGAGACATAATTTATCACGTCAGAGATTTAGCCTGTTTTAGAGTCGGTGAGAAGAGTGTCGCTTTTCTTCAGACAGTCTTCCATTCAGTTACTCTGTCAGCGAGGAATATTTTACAATAACACCAACATCGGTCGCTGCATGGACCGTTGAGTCAAAAATTGAATAAAAGAAATTGCTTCGGCGATGTCCAAAATTTTAGACCTCTGACGCCTCATTGACCAGAGTCCAGCTTCCAGTTTCCGGCTTTTTATGTCTTTCAGATGGAACGTTGTCTGACGTGCTATGATGGCATGGCGCTGTCTGCCTCCTCCGTTCAGAACGGAGACAGTGGGACTCCTCCTGTTGCCAAACGCTGTATTTATCATATTCTTGTCCATCTTCGGTAGTCGTCGCTGTGCTGCTACAACCCCGTCTGCCGGTAGGCGTGGAGCAGG